TTTGGCCTGGGTAGAGTGCTGTGGTGTCACAGCTCACAGCAACCCCAAACTCTTGGACTCAAGCAGTGCTCTTCTCTCAGCCTCCCAAGTAGCTGAGACTACAGACACCCGCCACAATACCCAGCTATTTTTAGAGATGGGATCTCACTGTTGCTTAGCCTGGTCTCAAACTCATACGCTCAAGTAATCCATCCACCTGAGTCTCCCAGAGTGCTAGGAGTATAGGCATGAGCCACCATGTCTGGCCGTATATGCACACTTTCCTATTGCCAGACTTTGTTTTAAGTTGTTCACAAGGAGGTAGCAGCATAGCCTGGATGCTGGAGTCAAACTGCCTGGCTGTTCATCTTGGCTCAGTCAAGCATGGGGTATGTCTTGGCAAGTTGTTCGATTTCTACCTTTCTATGTTAGTAAATGTAGATACAATGATGCTTGCCTTAGAAGTTTAGCATTTGGGTTAAACAGGTTAATGCACGCATATTGCTTTAAAACTGGGCTTGGCAATCTTAAGTGTGTAATGAATATTACACACTGCTGTTGCTGTTACTCTACTCTAGTGGGAGGAATGGAAGCGTTCAGGAAGTCAAACTATACTCATCACTAATCCTGTGTGGGCACCGTCTTCGGTTTGGGTTTCAGGCAAACTGGGACCTCTTACCAGACAGAAAGATTGCTCACTGGACTTGGTTTAGGAACCCCTGGCTCTGTGACTCAAGAAAGTATTTACTTCTGCCAGCTTTAGTGTTTGAATTTATTTAGATAACTAGGAGGGTGATGATGCCCTTCCCAGGAGAGAAGCAGGTTTTAGGGAAAAGATGATGAGTGACATAATCACTGAAGATAACATTGGGACAAATATATCAATTTTATGAGGAAACAAAAGCATTATCTTACAAATTAATTATGATATAAGTATACTCATTACCACCACTCCTAGTAAAGTTGAAGATCCTAGCTAGTACAATTATGATAACTTAAAAATCCCAATAGTTTGTAAAATGCATTATTGTCCCAGCTGCAGAGCATTTGGTGAGCAGCCCCCAGGGATGGCTTGCTTGTCAGTGCAGCTCCCCAACTCCTCCCTGCTCCC